TGTAGCTTTTTGGTCTGAGAAGGTCAGTGAAATCCCCTCAGGATTTATCCTGAGATCCTGTACTTGAGATTTTTTTAAAGTGTTTTAATTCTCAGCATAGTCCCTGAGTAGCTTCTTTTCATCATTTCTTTATTCTTTCCTATTTGTTGCTTAATTAATTATTTTTATTCTTTATGTCCCTCATCTTTTTATTTTTCTGTGTTCTGAATGATACCATTCAGTCAATATTATTTTTAGTTGTATAGTTTACTGTTTAAACCATCGTTTGAGGTTTTAATTCTAGATACTTACATGGTTTATATTCAGACTGGCCTTATTGTTTTGTAATGCTATTTAAGTTTTCAGAGTATATTCCTTCCTTTTTATCTTTGGATATTTAAAAATAGAGTTATATAATGTTCTTTTTAGATTACTCCTATCTTTAGCCCCTTAGCTATGAATTTTCCTGTCTTAGTTTTGGTTCTATGGACAATCTCCACTTCCATCCACTACCCTCTTTGTTTTTATTGCCTTGAAATTTTCTTTCTTTACTTGTGAGCTTATATCAAACTTAAGAACTAAGCCCTTAGTGGATAGGTAGTACCTTCACTACTCTTGAAGATTTTCATCTGTGAAAGGAAAAAAATAGAACATTTAAAATTAGTGCATATTAGTTATACACACTAGTGATTTCCATCTTGGCAAATCATATATTTATGAAGCATATTTTTATCATTTTCCCCCAATTTCCCATTCTCCTTCCCTGATTCCTTTTCTCTCAATCTTCTATTTTCATGTCATGTCTTTTTTTTTAAATGTCCTTTTTTTAAGTTTTGTTAGTATAGGTTTGTAATGCATAAATATTACATTCAGTATAGGAGTTGATATATCTATATATATTTTTTTCCCTTAGATTTCCTTGCAGAAGAGAATAGCATAGTAGTTTTTCATGTTTTCAGGGGTGATAGATCTCTTTGAGGGTCTCTTGAGACTGATGGAAACTAAATTTTTCTTATATGTGAACTCTTAATCTCTATGATCTCTGGGTTAAAACACCATAATCCAGTGGGATTAATCTGGTCAGAGATTTTAATATGGGTGAGGTTGTGACTTCTGAGGTGGCATGAGAGTATAGTGTACAATAGTGATTTCCACACTTACCTAAGCAGTGGAACCTATCATTCACATAAAGTCTCATCAGCTACAGTTTACAAAATAGATATAAGTAAATTTTTTCCAGTTGAAACAAGGGTTGGTCACGGACCTGTTCACTTTCTGCCCTAATGGTATGCAGTCTTGGACTTTCTGAAATATTGGTTAAAAAAAAAAAAAAAGGTTAAAAAAAAAAAAAAAAGCACTGGTGCACACCTGAAGTCTTAGCATCCTAAAAGGTTGAAGCAGGAGGGTCTAGGTTGAGGCTCACCCTGGACAATGAAAGTGTAAAATCATTGTTATTTGCATTGTCTTCATTTATTATATTTTCTAAGCATTCTGTAGTAATATATATGTAACTTTATAAAGAGAAAGGGATTATGAAGTACATGGTTTCATAGAGAAAGCCACTCAAGTTCAGCATTATGTTGAATATATAGTTAGAATAAATTGTAGATCTACCTAATTGTTGACTTTTAAAAATAATGGAAATTGATTTTATAAACATTCTTAAAGGAGTATTTGCCTTTTAGGTTTTTTGTGTGATTGGAGAATACAGTTGGAAGTGGAAGTGGAACCTACAAAATATCTTTTAGGATGTTTGAAGATGACGAAAAAGTGAAATTACGCCGTCTTGAACCAGCTATCCAGAAATTCACTAAGATAGTAATCCCAACAGATCTGGACAGGTTACGTAAACACCAGATAAATATTGAGAAGGTGAGGTTTTTTCATTTTCTACTACAATAAAATTATATAACATGACTTATATTTGTTGTATATTTTAGCTAAATTGAGATTAGGCAAGAGACTTGTGAAAATGCTTAACTACTGTTGACTTAGCAATTTTCTTTTTAAATATTGGGATATTGGCTTAAAATTTTGGTATTTTGGTTTGAAAAATATAACTCACATATTCCTTTTTTTAGGAAGAGATATAGGAGTAGAGTCTTTAAAATTGTATATGTTGAGATATTAGTAGTTAAAATAGTGTACCAAAATATAAAGGTGTGGAACTTTGCACGGTAGATCTGGAGTAATTTCATTTGCTCCCCACTTTAGCATTTTTTAAAAAATATATTTAGTACAGGGTCTACAGGGTCTCACTACACAGATCAGACTTGTAGTGATTTTCCTGTTTTTCAGCCTCCCAAGTGCTGGGATTACAGGTGGGTGCCACCACGCCTAGTCTTGGTTGCCATCTCAGCGTGCCTTGGGAGTGAAGCTGGCATAGAACGCCAAGGATCGAAGCCTGGTCCCTGCATCTGCCGAAGCAGGCCCTTTGGCATATTTTTGAACCTTAAGTGTATGCCTTACTGTAACACTTAATCTTCTTCAGGTTCACATATATAAAGTGAATTACTCTGTGATATGAGCAAACTTTCTTACTTCACTGTTTCTCTTTGAGGAAAGCCCAAAATTGAGAAATACTACCTAGCCAGTTAATAAAACAGGAACACAAACTAGTCTAAGGGTCTGTGGTGTAGGTTGCATAGAATCTTCTACTGTCTAGAGTCTGGTGGAGTAGTTGTGCCATTTATGGTAGTAGTTTATTGAAGACTGAGCATTTATTTGGCAGGTTGTCTTATTTGCTGTTGGACAGGTCAATGATCTTTCTGCTTGTTCATTGAAAAGAACCTCTCCAAAATGTAATATGAAGGGTACAATAGATCCTGGGAAAAGGGAATGAACTTATTCAAAAGGAAATAGTTACTAAGTTGAGAAGGACAGGCGAGGGAGTGGGGAAAAGAGATTTATCTATGTATGTAAGCAGAATGGTTTGGACAACTATACTGTGTATTTCTTCTGATCTATGGAAAGGAACAGTTAATGTTTTAATTTGTTTTGTCTCTTTTTTTCAATTGTTTGTTCTTTTTCTCTTACATATTTCTTTCTTTTTTTCTTTCTTATTCCAATTTTACATTCATATATCTGGTAATATGAATAACTGGTTGGAAGACAATACTATGTATTACAACAAATACTGTGAAATTCATATTACTTTGTTAAATGAAATTCTGTATCACTTGTAACTTTTTGTTTTAATTCTAATTTGTACTTTCTTTAAAAAAGAAAAAGAAAAGGACCTCTTCCAGTGTAAATTTTAAGCTGTGTACCATGCCTCGCCACTGATTTTTTTTTTTGAAGATTGGGTTGGAGGATGTGGTTATAAAGCATTTCAGTATAAACACTATTCATTATCTTCAGTGGCTTTGACAAGTGGCAACTTTTTCTGTCATAGATACTACCAGTTTTGTTCATATTATGACCTTTTAAATTTATAAAGTAACATATAGAACATAAATACAAATAATACTAAGGTGAGAATTTCAGTGAAAATATGAAGGGGTTTCTAGAATTCAGGATTAGTACTTTATCATCCCTTAATTTCTTTTTCATTCATTAGCAATAAGTGACACTGTGATTTTTAAAAATGGAGGTATTGTCTAGTCAACTGGTTATTCTTGTCATGAATGTGTATCCGCATGAAAGGGTTTCACATTTTGGTTAATTAGAAGGGTTGGTTCTTTTAGTGCTCTGACAGTATATTTGTAGAATTATTTACTTTTGATTGATCATTTCCTAGTGAAATGTTTAATCAGGTATGTTTCAGTGTAAGTACTGCACACTAACCAATTGTGTTGCTGGAGCTCCATGGTCAGGTATGTTTCAAAGCCATACTGAAGTGCTTGATTACACAGATAATATGAAGTTAGTAGATACAGTAAGTTAATTCTGAAAGATAGAAACAGGTGGATAACTAAGGCCATTTCTTTGTTGTTTTACTTTACCTTTGAGGTTTGGCATGTGTTAACCTTCTATTTTTTTTTCCCTAAATTTATTGAGAAACAAATATCATGAGACAGTTTCAAACCAAACTGGTAGGACAGTTTCAATAATTAACACATTGTATACATTCTTCCTAGTGGTTAATTGCTGTACAAGATGCAGACATGATATCCTTCTTACAAACACCATTAGAACAAATCCCCCTATTCATTAAGAGAATGTAACTGTATATCGATCCTAGCCATTTGAAAACACATATACAAAATGGACATTCATTTGCATCCCCTTTTTGTTGTTAAGTTCTGTTATTTGAATATTATAGGTGTGTAAACTCAGCAAAATATTCTAAAAGAGTCCAATAGTCCATAATAGTATGGGGTCTTCTGCTTGACTGGCAATGTCAGAAATTGTTGACCTGAGTCCCCTACAGCTCCACATAACAGCATGACTTTACTTCTTATATTTCGTTTTTATACTTTTCTGCTGGATGGTTAAGACCAAATCTTTTTTTTTTTTCTATACAAAAATCCATCTTAGCTACATGTACAATCAGTCATCAATAGAAAAGCCTGAGAGAAAGAGACTAGGGCTAAATGGGTGAATTACTGATGTGATTCATTGTGCCAAGTGTTGTAAGAAAATTGTACAAGAATTAATCACATGAACCCCTTCCGTGCCTGAACATTTTTCCTTTAGCATTTTGTGATATTATTACTTACTGTGAAATTTTTAGACATTATCAGAATAAATATAATATACAATGTAAGTAATAGTGTTAAGCCAAGCAGTTAAGCTCATATTGATTGGTTTTATTTCATATCCTCAAATATTCAGCTATCTATAGGATTTCTAGTGTATTTATAAAAGTAAATTTTTATCTAGATAAAATTGAAGAACATATTTTAGTAGATATGACAACATAAAAGCATTTAGAAGCTGTAGTGCTTACTCTGGACAAAAGAGTTGAGAACTAAGTTTGGATTCCCAGGTGCCTGATTGTGCCTCACTGTCAAAAAAAAATATTCTTCTTAGAGAAAAGGTGTAGAAAGATAAAATATTTATTATGCGGGACATCAGTCATCCAATATGAATTTAAAAGAAAGTCAGACTGAGGGAAGTTGAAGGTAAGCCTTTGGTGGAGTGATTCCACACTGCTGCAAACAATGAGAGCAGTGTGCTGTGGACACCTGGGGTTGTATTCCATAGGTCCTTCAGCAGTGAGTTTTATTACACATGGTAAATTTTATTAACATGTAATCCTCAAATTTGAACTGTTAGCACTCAGCTTTCTTGGCTAATGTAAGACAGATTGAAGCATAGTTAATAGGAACAATATAGTTTTTGTGTTTTATGTTGTAGGGATTTGGAGGAAAACTTACTGGGTAACACATAGTATTTTATTATTATGTTATTATATATTATTAGTGTATAGCTAAAATGTAAATAGGAAAAAGCTTGGAAATCATGTACTAAAAAAGGCAGAAGTTTTTTTCAGTTGTTTTTGAGTCTGTCTTTAGTCTCTCAGAAGGGAGTACTAGGGTGCAGTGGCAGCTCTGCAGTTCTCAAGATGATCTAGATTCTTTCCTTCTCATTCTCCTATCCTAAACTTGTTTCTGTCTTTTCTACTCTAGCACTAGTTATCCCATGCACAT